ATAGAGGACCTACAATAATGTACAGTATTTGAAAAATAATGTGTTTTTTGAACATTAAAGCATGTCAACATATTCTGTTACCCCAAATACACAAAATAATGATCTTTAAAAAAAGCATCATATGACCCCTTTAAGAAACAGTCCACACTCAATTTCAGCCACAGCAATCTTGTTTACTGACAGTCCAAATCAATTTAATGGCACTGACATTTTAGTTTCATAACCATGGTATTTGCCAAATACTAAAAATATTTTAGATCTGAAGTCAATGTGGAGTAAAATTTGATTCATATTATTACTTTTCATATTAGCACCTGCCTGTAAGCTGATTCTTTTCTTACTTGGGAGAGTGATCTGAATTTAAATAAACAACATACAGTGCTAAAGGGCTTAGCAAAAGTTATGATATTTTGGAGGTGTACACAAAATAATGATCTTTAAAAAAAGCATCATATGACCCCTTTAAGAAACAGTCCACACTCAATTTCAGCCACAGCAATCTTGTTTACTGACAGTCCAAATCAATTTAATGGCACTGACATTTTAGTTTCATAACCATGGTATTTGCCAAATACTAAAAATATTTTAGATCTGAAGTCAATGTGGAGTAAAATTTGATTCATATTATTACTTTTCATATTAGCACCTGCCTGTAAGCTGATTCTTTTCGTAATACAAAAGCCAAAAAACAGTTAATTTAAAAAAAACACACACACACACTTTTGCTTGAACAAACTCCTAATTTGCTGCTTCTTAATAGTTTAAGGTAGCTGTTAAGTTTAGGTATAGGGTAGGATTAAGGGATCTAAACTATGATCAGAATAATATGTGCTTTGTAAGTAATAATAAATTACCAATATGCTAGTAATATGCATGATAATAAAGCAACTAGTTAACTCTGCTACAGTTACTACTGGCAGCTGAGGTAAATAATTGTAATTATTGGCAAAACATTCACAGAAATTTGAAAAACTAATGGAATGCATAATCGATATAAAAACTGGATGGCGAGTAATTTCTTACTGCTAAATTCTGAAAAAACAGAGGTGTTACTTATCGGACCTAAAACCTCCGCATGTAATAACCTAGAACACTGTCTAACACTTGATGGCTGCTCTGTCAATTCTTCGTCATCAGTTAGGAACCTAGGTGTGCTATTTGATAGCAATCTTTCCATTGAAAGCCACGTTTCTAGCATTTGTAAAACTGCATTTTTCCATCTCAAAAATATATCTAAATTATGACCTATGCTCTCAATGTCAAATGCAGAAATGTTAATTCATGTGTTCATGACCTCAAGGTTAGATTATTGTAATGTTTTATTGGGTGGTTGTTCTACATGCATAAACTCCAGCTGGTCCAAAATGCAGCAGCTAGCATCCATTGTTTGCTACTGGCGACCCAGGTCAGTGTAGTGTAGAGATGCACGGATGAGCTCAAACTCCACCCGAGACCCCTGCTTCAAATTATCCGGCCGCCACCCACCCGCACCTATATTTGATCGTCACATTACAATGATTCTAATTCTTAGTCTTGCATGATGATATGATGAATGGATAGCTCATTTTTAACAGCAGATTCAGTGACGTTAGAGACTAGAGCTGATCTGCGCATCACGGCACACATCTGCGGTGCATTAAAGCCTGTGTTACGGCCCCCGGAGCTGATCGCGGCCATTCAGTCAATGCTGGTGTTTATACCGGCCGCGCCGCAGCCCAGAACTCAAGCTTATCACATCGGTCACATCACATCGTGCGGCACGACAAAATACAATAGAATTCTATTGTATTTTGTCGTGCCGCACAGCTCACGTCCGGTGTAGAATAGAACCCATTATAATCAGTGATTTTGTCAACACTGGATGCAGTAAACTGATGCCTATTTCTATTTATGACGTGCTGACACAAAGTTCAAATGATTTTCAATGGTCGCTTTGCCACGTCCTGTTGCGGTGCAGACACGTTGTCAGCATAGTTTGTCAGTACAGTCAGTAATGTAGCAGATTGAAAAGTTAGTATCTTTCTGCAGTCCAATGAATAGACGGCAGTGCGGTGTTGGTTTGAGTCTGTTGAATGGTGATTTAACGCTACGTTGTCACCTAGTTGGAGAGACTCAATGCTAAGTAAATAAACAACAATGTCCCTGTCTTTTACTCTCACAATGAGCTTATCATATTCGTTTGCTACATTGGTAGGGCCGTATGATTTCTGCGATGCAGAAAACATGGACGGAATCGCAGAATCCATTCATAAAAATGGAATTTACTGTATAATGCGGAATTTCATGGAATTTGTCTTATTTTTGATGAATAAATAAAAAACAGGTCAGTACATACATATATATATATATATATATATATACATATATAGAGAGAGAGAGAGAGAGAGAGAGAGAGAGAGAGAGAGAGA